TCTCGAGGCTCTTGAAAGCTGGAGTGGGGCCCGAAGAGACGAAGGAGGTGCTGAAGCAAGCTCTCCGTCTTGACAAGGACGCGAAGCTTCTCGTGCTGCTTTCCGACCTGCCATTCCAGAAATCTGACTTGAGGCAAGCCTTCGTAGAAGCATTCTGCGAACAAGCAGACCTTGAGAACTACCACTTCTTGAAGCTTCTCGAGAAGCGACTCCTCGATCTGACACTGACGTCTGACGAGACCAGCGTGATCTTGGACGGAGCCCTCAGCCTCCCGAGGCGCGCGAAGCTTCGAGTTCTGCTGTCGGAGCTGCCCTTTGCGGCGTCGCAACTGGTCGAAGCATCGATCGAGCCCTTGCTGTCTGCTGCAAAGGCACGCGATGTGTATCTCGCAGGCAGTATCGTCTCACGGCTCTTGAAAGCTGGAGTGGCAGCCAGTCAGACAAGCGGCATTCTCGAAGCAGCAAGGAAGCTAAACATGTCTGCCAAGCTTGTCATTCTGTTGTCTCCTCTGCCCTTTCGCTCCGATGATTTGGTGGAGGCTCTGCGAAATCCCTTACTCTCAGCCGCTGATGCAGGGGCCGTGAAGGTCGTGCAGAGCATCATCGAACGGCTCCTGCGGGCCAACATGGAAGCGGCTCAGACAACTGGCATCCTGGAAGAAGCTGTCAAGCTCAAGCCATCTGCCCGGCTTATCTTGCTGCTCTCCGATCTGCCATTCGTGGCGTCGCCTTCTTTGCAGCATTTCCTGACTCGGCTTCTCCTCATGTTTTCGAAGCAGCATGGTGCTGAGACATTTGCGATTGTGAAGCTGATTGGAACCAAGCTCTCAGCATGCGGGATGAAGAAGGCTGATGCTGATTCCATCCTCCGTTCTGGGATCATCTCAGGAACCTCTGCGCAGCTTCGAGTTTTGACCAGTGGGCTTCCCTTTCATTCCGGCACTGTGAGGAGACTGGTTCCAGAACTGGCGTCGAGCCTGGTTGAAGCAGCAGCGAGAAAGGACACGGAGCTAGTGGAAGAGGCCGAAAGAGTGCTCCGACACCGCGGTATTCGAGCCTCGCATACGAGTTCCTTCTTGGAGAGGGCGTGCCACGCAAGATGCTATAGCTTCATTGTGCACTCGACCCTGCCCTTTGAGCCAAGAGTATTAACATCGAGCCTGGCAGAAGCATACTTGCGAGAGCTCGTTGAAGGGACACATTCTGAGAATGAGTTCGTTCAGAGGTATTGCTCCGCGACTGAAATCGAGATGGCTCTCAGCCGGGCAGGGGCAAATCAAGTTGCATTTCTTGCCTGCGTGCTGCTCTTGGCTGCGGACACGCTGCCTCCCGACGCACCTGTGATCAGACACTTGCTGGAGCGGCTGGTCCACATCGGGATCGCCATGCCAGAAGCAGACTATTTGATGGACAGGATCAGGCCGGAGCTCAGTAGGCTTCTGAGCCGGAGTGCGATGCCTTTCTCCGAGGCAGCCTTGGCCCGCGCTGGAACTAATTGTCCCTGAGACGGCGAGTAGGGTGACGCCCTGACCCCGCTTCTCTTCTTGTCTGCGAAGCAGAACAGTGCTGAGACATCAGCGATTGCGAAGCTAATTGGAGCCAAGCTCTCAGCATCCGGGATGAAGCCGGCTGATGCTGATTCCATCCTCCGTTCTGGGATCATCTCAGGAACCTCTGCGCAGCTTCGAGTGTTGACCTGTGGGCTTCCCTTTCATTCCGGCACTGTGAGGAGACTGGTTCCAGAACTGGCGTCGAGCCTGGTGGAAGCAGCAGCGAGGAACGACACGGAGCTAGTGGAAGAGGCCGAAAGAGTGCTCCGACACCGCGGTATACGGGCCTCGCATACGAGTTCCTTCTTGATGAGGGCGTGCCACGCAAGATGCTATAGCTTCATTGTGCACTCGACCCTGCCCTTTGAGCCAAGAGTATTAACATCGAGCCTGGCAGAAGCATACTTGCAAGAGCTTGTTGAGAAAGCAGATGCATACTGGCAAATTGAGCCGCATTGGCTTGTTGAGTCTGACATCGAGCTCGCTTTCATCCGGGCAGGGGCAAATCAAGTTGCATTTCTTGCCTGCGTGCTGCTCTTGGCTGCGGACACGCTGCCTCCCGACGCACCTGTGATCAGACACTTGCTGGAGCGGCTGGTCCACATCGGGATCGCCACGCCAGAAGCCGACTATTTGATGGACAGGATCAGGCCGGAGCTCAGTAGGCTTCTGAGCCGGAGTGCGATGGCCTTCTCCAAGGCAGCCTTGGCCCGTGCTGGAATTAACCACGTGAAGTACCGCCGAGGGCTGATATGATGAATCCTTGTTTCTTTCGGGATCAGGCTTTGTGAATGCTTTTGAGTTTCGGAAGCATTGTCACAGCTCGTAGTGGCTTCACCACGAGAAAAACTTAGTGCTGCACCCGTAGCACAAGCAAGTCGGTGTGCTGGTCCGGAGGATTCGCTGTCCATGCATCGCGCTCGTTATTCATGGACGAATCGTCATCGTGTTCATCCTCATATTCATCATCATCATCATCATCATCATCATCATATCATCATCATGCTCCTCCTCCTCGTCGTCATCATCATCATCACCATCGTGGTCATCCTACCACCATCATGCTCCTTGGCATTGCCATGGTTCTCCCAACAGCAAGCAGAATAGCAGGCCAGAGAACTGCTGGCGCCAGGGCATCGAAAGCACCAACGCTGCTGAACTAAAAGAAAGCATCATGTATTTCGTTGGATGTGCTCATGCAGTCTTTGCCTCCTGTCCTTCCCTGTCAAGTGCCACTGGCCACTCCTGGGCATCTAGGCCCGAGCCGCGTCCTTGGAGTTTCCTTTGCCCCAAAGCCATGAGCTTTCCGATAGAAGAGGTGGCTTTCAACGTGCTGCGGGCGGCGAAGCCGGAGGGTGCACCGATCTTCCATGGCTGGAGTGGCCAGCCACTACGTGTGCCCCCCGAGGAGTATCAAAGGAGACTTCAAGCTGTCAAAGAGTTCATGGATTCAGATGGCATCAGCTTGTTGGTGGTCGTTCAGCCCGAAGACCTCTACTACCTCACGGGCTTGTACACCATCGGAGACTCGGCCCCACAAGCACTGATCTTGCCAAAGGATGCGGACCCTTTCCTGATTGCCCGGCTCATTGAGTTCGACTTGGTCCCGAAGCTGTCCTGGGTGGCCGAGGCTTTCACATGTCCGGATAGTGCCAGCATCCATGACGTCTTCTGCCATGCGGTTTCGAAGTACCTTGAACCGAAGTGCTGTGTTGGCCTGCAGTTGGCTTCCATCTCAGCCGCCCACTACATCCGGCTCCGCAGCTTCTTCGACGCTGCCGGTGCGGAGTGTGTGGATGCCAGCAAGACGGTGGAAAAGGCTCGTCTTCAGAAGTTCGAGTTCGAGCAAGAGTGTATCCGGGCAGCTTCCGCCATGTCAGAGTCAGCCTTGGCTGCAGCCTTAAACGCGGTGAAGCCCGGGAAGCTCTTGAGCGATCTTCACGCCACGGCCTACAGCGAGCTGATCCGCGCTGGCAGTGAGGCTTTTCCCGGCCAAAACACGATCCCTAGCAACGTAAAAAAAGAAATATGTATTATTATTATTCTTCTTCTTATCATTATTATTATCAGGACTCAAATTCTTAAGCTCAAGAGCCCTGGCCCAAGTGTTCAGGTTCCCGGCTACGTCCCCATCGTGCGCTCCACGGACCCGTCTGGCCATGGCTCCTGGATGCCAGCAGAAGAAGCCTCTCGGACATGGACGTGGCTAAATTGAGCCCTAAACCCTAGACCCCAAATCCTAAACCCTAAACCTTATCTAAATTTATCATAAGCTCTGGTAGATGCTGTCCAACATGGGCCAAGCCGAAGCCATAGATCCTAGACCTGGTTCTCAATCCTAAACCCTTAAACCCGTAAATGCCCTAAACTGCCCTAAACCCCTAAACCCTAAACCTTACACTAGGAAAGCTGTCTCTCCTCTTGGCTCTCCATGTAGCGGGGGCTCAGGTCCGTCCTGGAAACCTGGTCTTCCTGGAGCACTCGGCCTGCAAGTTCGGCCATCACGCTCCCCTCATGCGCACGGCCTTCGTGCCCCTTGGCCCTTTTGGGGTTCTATATTTGGGGTTGGTTGTATGAGTTTGGGGGCTAGGTTGTGGTCTTGTGGACATTGGTGGCTAGTTGGTTGATATTGGGGTTTCCCATTTTCTGGAACTCCCACGTGAATGTCGGAACCTGCAGACTCCTAGGATGCGGAAGTAACTCCCAAGTCATGCTCTCAGGCTGAACGAAGGCGAGGCATCACCACCGGCGTGGCTGCTAGAGGCACCTGCTTCAGCTTCATGGGAGATTACAAGCAACCATGACCAAACTTCAACCAGAGTGATAAAAAGAACCCAGGCTGTACAAGCAAGAAGGACAGCGCTCATCAGAACTTACATCAACGCAAGGTTTCTGATGACAACCATCTTCATCGTTCTCACCAGAATGAAAGACCACCGCCATCTTCTTCATCGTTACCACCACCATCATCATCAGCATCATCGTCATCGTCATCTAGTCACCATCATCATCACCACCGCCCTGGAACGCAAGAAGAGCCGTAGCAGCGGCGGGAGCAACAAAGACAAGGCCCTAAAGCCTTCAGCTCCGTGGGGTCCCATAATAATTCACGAATTGTTTTTGTCCGCCGGAACGAGGCAGAACGACTGATCGTGAAGACATTCGAGGTCTGCTTGCCTATGATGGTGCCAGGAGCATGGATTTGGGGTTTAGGGCGTAGGTTTGGGTTAATAGGGGTTTGGCTGACACATGCTGCTTCCGGCCGTGTGCTCGTGTGCATCTCTTTCTCTCTGGATCTTGTGGTTCTTCCTTTCCTGCACATGTGTGAAGGCATGTCGAAAGACCACAGCCTTGAATGATCAGAAGAACACATGTATCAAACTAGCTGCATCTGTCAATCAGTCATATTTCCATCTATCCAGTTATGAATCAATCTGACCAATTTTCCCTGCTTACGTGTATGCACACACACACACACGCGCGCGCGCACGCGTTTTTGCGCATCACGCAATTCGCAGGCAAAGGCCCGTGTGGCATGAGAGGGAGGGACATGCCGCATGCCTAGGCTAAAACCTGTGCGGTTCCTAAACCCTCAATCCCAAAGCCCTCAGCCCGAAACCCTACGCAACACCCTAAGCATCCTTCTTCAGAGTTTCCGGTCGAGGATCGAAAGCTGAGGGTGTTGGAGTTTGGGGCATTCAGGGCTTCCGGGCTTTAATTTCAAAAGTTGTCCCACAAGATCCCAGAAGTTCAGGAAGAACCCGAAACGACCCTATCCTTTAGAGCCCCATAAGCCTCCTTAAAAGAGCCCTTTAAATCCTTTCATGGAATCAAACCTAGGCCCCTGAGCTTTTCCTAGTGCTCTTTCAGGAGCCAAGGCGAAGGATATCGACAAGGCTGGCCTCAACCCTAAACCCCTGAACCCTAAACCCTGAACCCTAAACCATAGACCTAAAGCCTAAACCCTAAATCATAAACCTAAAGCCTAAACCTCTAAACCCTAGAGCCCTAAATCCTAAAGCCTAAACCCTTT